CCGGAGCCCAGCAAATCGACACTGGGGTGGCCATGAGTGTGCCACTGCACTCCAGCCAAGGCGACAGAGTGAGACTCTAACTCAAAAAAAGAAAGTAGCAAAACTAGACTTCTATATGCAAAAATTAAAAAATTTTTAAAAAACATAAGAACTTTGTTTTATATCTTGTACCATGTTCAAAACTTGACTTAAAATAGATCATAGCCGGGCTCGGTGACTCAGCCTGTAATCCCGCGCCTTTGGGAGGCTGAGGTGAGTGGATTGCCTGAGCCCGCGGGTTCGAGACCCGCCTGGGCAGCGAGACCTCATCTCTACAATAAATCCAAAAATCAGCCGGACGTGGTAGCGCATGCCTGTAATTCCGGCTACTTAGAAGGCTGACGCGGAAGGATCACTGGAGCCCAGCAGGCGAGGCTGAGGTGGCTGGGAGCCCAGCAGGCGAGGCTGAGGCGGCCACTGCACTCCAGTCTGGGCGACCGAATGAGACTCCAACTCAAAAAAAAAAAAAAAAGGATCATAGACCTATCTATATAAAACCGAAAACTGAAAACATCTAGAAGAAAATATAAAAGAAACTCTGAGACTTTGGATTGGGCAAACATAGTTTATATATAATGTCAAAAGCATAATTCATAAATTAAAGCACTTGTAAATCGGACTTCATCAAAGGAAAACATTTGCTCCTCAAAAGACAGTGTTAAAAAATGAAAATACAAGTCACAGACTAGGAGGAAAATCTTTTCAAAACATGTATCTGACAAAAACTATCTAGAATAAAGAACACTCAAAACTCAATGAGAAAATAACCCAAGTAAAAAGTGGACAAAAGTGGCTGGGCACAGTGGCTCATGTCTATAATCCCAGTACTTTTTGGGAGGCTAAGGTAGGAGGACTGCTTGAGGCCAGGAGTTCAAGACCAGCCTGAACATAGTGAGACTCCCTCTCAATTAAAAATAAAAAATTTAAAAGGGTCAAACAGAGACTTTAACAAAAGATGTAAGAAAATTAAAGTCTGAAAATACCAAGTGTTAATGAGGTTGTAAAATAATTGGAGTTCTCATACTTTCCGGAGAAAATATAAAATGATACAAGCACTTTGGAAAACAGTCTGGTAGTTTCTAGCAGGAAACATACATTTACAATATGACCCAGTCATTTTACTCCTAGGTATTTACAAAAGAGATATGAAAACATATGTTTAGCCAAAGATTTTTAGCAGCTTTGTTCATAATGGGAAAACAAAACAAAAATCAAAAAAAAAACAAAAAGCAACTCTGGAAACAACCTGAATGTTCAACAAGTGAATAAACAGATATACTGAAATGTAAAGATATAATGGAATATTATTAGTAAGTATGAAAAAAGAAACATTTATTTGATACATGTAAAATGAATGAATCTCAAAAACAGCCTGTTGAGTGAAATAATCTAGAGGAAAAACATCCTGTATGATTCTACCAGTATGAAATTTTAGAATGATAGTGACTGCCTGGGGCTGGGGTAGATGAATTAGAACTCACTGCAGAAGGGATCAAGGGAGCTAAAAAGGGTAATAAAAATGATCTATATGGCTGAGCATGGTGGCACACACCTATAATCCGAGTGCTTTGGGAGGCTGAGGCAGGTAGACTGCTTAAGCCCAAGAGTTTGAGACCTGTCTAGGCAACATAGCGAAACCTCACCTCTACAAAACAAAACAAAGAAAAAAATTAGCCAGACATGGTGGCGTGCACTTGTAGACCCAGTTACTCAGGATGCTGAGGTGGAAGGATCACCTGAGCCCAGGATTCTAAAGCTGCCATGAACCATGATTGTCAAGATCATGTCACTGTACTCCAGACTGGGTAACAGAGTGAGACTCTGACTCAAAAATAATAATAATAACAATAACTAATTTTGTTTCTTTTAACCTTTTTAATGTAGTGGCTTCTACAAAATATAAAATAACCTATCTTGCTTGCATTACATTTCTGCTGGAATTGTCGTAGTAGAAACAAAGGTGTATACAACATCTGTCAAAATTAAAGCTGTACACTTAATTTATATTATATATAAATCATTCCCCAATCAAGCTGATAAAAATATTAGTGCATATATGCTCGTGGGGGGGGTGCTTTGCGTGTGTGTGTGAGTATAAATAACTATCCTGCTTATGACCTTTCCTTATCAATATCACTGGGTATTTACATGCAAAATTTACTGTTCTTTTTTTTCTTTTTTTTTTTTGAGTTGGAGTCTCACGGTCACCCAGACTGGAGTGCAGTGGTCGCTCCCGGTCACCACAGTCTCAACCTGCTGGGTTCCGGCAATCCTTCTGCCTCAGCCTTCCAAGTAGCTGGAACTACAGGTGCATGGTACCACGCCCGGCTAATTGTTTTTGATTTATTGTAGAGATGAGGTCTCGCCTGCCCAGGCGGGTCTCGAACCCGCGGGCTCAGGCAATCCACTCACCTCAGCCTCCCAAAGGTGCGGGATTACAGGCTGAGCCACCGAGCCTGGCTTACTGTTCTTCTTAATAGTTACTATATTAAATTACATTACACTTATTTAATGTTTGCCTCCCTCACTAGCCTCTGAGCTTCTTGAAGCAGGAACCCTGTTTTGTTCATCTCTATGTAAGCCTAGCACTTAACAGAAAGTTAACATAATGGCTGCAGAAGAGTTCCAGACACTTTACATAGTTTAGTTCTCTCAAAATTCCTACAAATTTGGCATTAAAATTCCCGTTTTTCAGAAGTAAAACTGAGGTTCACATGGTCAGAAAGGTTAAAGTAACTCACCAAGTATCTAGAGATAGTAAGTGAAAGAAGTTTGTTCCAAACCCACACTTACAATTCCAAAGCCTGTCCTTCCACCCTACACCATATTGCCACCTCTCCAAGAGGGCATTTTATAACAGTTTGATGAGTGACTAAATCAAAGTAAATATTCATATTTAGGGGCAAAAGAACCACAGAACTTTTCATGAACTCGTGTTACTGTTTCCTAGTTCTGAATGGGCTTTCTCTAGATAGAGAGCAACTTGGCAGCTCTTACTAGATCAGAAAGGGTAAGTATGGTAGGGAAAAAAATGTTCCTTCCCAATTAAACTTTCTTAGGAGTCTGAAGAAGAAAAATAATACAGAACAAAGAACATAGGAAAGAGAAAAAAGAAAATGCTGAATCTGCTAATATAGCTAATTAATGCAAAAGAATGAACCTCACAGCAACTTCAGCGTTCAAAAGTGAAAAGTTAGGAGATGCTAGAGAGGCAGTTTCTGGGTCTTTCCGAGCTCTTCTTTAATTAGCCTTCCTGAATCTCAGCACTTCTGTTTGAATAATCCACATTTCTGGTTATCTATTCAGCTCCTAAGTGCTACACATCACCAAGCTACATGCCACAGGAATGCATCACTTTATATTTGCACTCAACAGTCCAAAGACACTGCAGTTCAGACCTTTAAGAAACTCAGGGGAAAGTCCCTCCAGAATGCAGTTTTAAGGTGAGAAGGCCCAAGAAGCCAAATGCATCTCCCATATATGCTATTTGCTTGAAAGAAAGAGGGTCATTTCAACAAAAGGACAGGCGATTAGAAGGGTAAGGGAGATAAACAAGGACTCAAGGGAGCAAAGCTAGCAAAAATCAGCTAAACACAGAAGGTCTCTGAGTAATTTCTCATGTCCCTCTCTGCACTTTAAAAAAGAATTTGTTTTCAAAAGCAATTCCTCAAAGGAAGATTTCATTCTATGCAAGACCTGGTACACACTAGACAAACAAAGAGGTCTACTGTGCCTCTAGCCTTCCACAAGCCTTTCCTTAGAGTCCATTATGTAGTTATTGAAAACTCTCCAGAAGATTATGTCACAGCCTGGGAAACAGCATGTTAAGTTTAAAAAGTAGCAATACAGAAAATTAAACATGTGGCAGGCCTGAAAAATTGTTAAAAACAAGAAAATGATTACAGAAAAAAAGGCTAGAAGAAAATATATACCCAAAGACAGCCTATCGTTGGATGACAACTGTTTCTCCAACCTCTTGGAAGCAGGAATTCTGTCTTATACATTTCTGTATAGGCCTAGTACTTAACATATATATATATAGTACCTTATCAATGTTTTAGCAGCAAGTTTACATTTATACTCTGCTGTATTTAATAAAATGTATCACATTTCTGAAAGGTTTTCCAAAGAAATACCTTAGTTTAACAGAGTTTTCAGTATACTCGAAGTTTCAAGACAGCAGACTCTCGCTCAATTCCATAAAGAATCATTTCATAATGATTACAGTCTTCCAACCATGCAAAAATGCTTCAGTGTCTCTCAGTTTAAAAAACTGTCCCTTGACCCTACACCAACATGCCCCATATGGCATGCATCACATGGCTTACTCCTTCCCACAGCCTCCGGCCCCACTATGGTTACCATCCCCAACTCTTACCTCACACACTTCTCTACTCCCCCTCCTAGGTAGATTTCTCCATAGTTATTGATATAAGCTCTTTCCTAATCTTTTGCTTTCAACTTTAGGATTCTGTGAAATAATTATAAAACTAACATGATATATTCACTTAATGGAATTAGAGCATAAATAATAAGCTATATAAGGAAAGTACTATACACAGAAGTTCTAGAACCATCTTGCATAGTTTCAGATTTCTTATGCTAAGCACAGAGCACACACACAACTCATTATGGAATGTATAAATAAAAAAATATGAATGATATTCTGCTGTCAGTAACAAAAATACACACAAACAATAGCATAGATAGGTCTACATGATACATACAAAAAATTAGGGTAAGTTTAGGAATTAATGGCTAGATGTTCCTAAAACCAATACACTAAAGGAAGAAGCAAAAAGACATTGTCCTTCAATACAGTGATCATATTACTAACTGACACACAACATACTTTTTAATTCATCTACTCTTACTCTAACTTTAGAACATGTTCTTGAATTCAGGCTCACAGTGAAGAGTCAGGCAAAAAAGATGGAAGAGATATGGCATTAGAAACATACCTGAGCATGAGATTCATCAGCTGAAGACCCTCACCCTTCAGAAAGCGTTCACGATTGGAACTGAGCATTAAGCAGGAGCAAAGTGAATCAAACAGATTCTCCATCATCTCCTGTTCCTCGGCTGTACTGGGATTGTGTCTTTTAAACACCTGTCAAGTAAAAACAGCAGAAAGCATAGAGCCATAAGAGAATGCCTTTCATTAGCCATCATACAACAATTTCCAAACCCTACAGCTGAGGAAACAGAAGCTTACCAAACAAAATTCTCATCAGGTTCCATTTTAAGGCTTTCTGATTTAACACATATAATGTAACTGAATGCAAAAAACATGCAAAACCCCAAAACATTCAACTGGCCACTGGGTCCATGAGTGATTGATAGTTCCAGGCAGATAATTTTTTTTTTTAAGCAAAAAACAAAAACAAAAAAACTTGTTTACTGTGAAATATAACACAGATATAGAAAAATCCATAAAGGACATGCACAGCTAAGTCAATCGAGTGAACAACAATGACTCGATTATCCAGGTCAAGAAACAACTTTGTCAACTCCCTCCAAAGCTCTTCACTTGCCCAACCCAACCACATCCCACTTCTTCCTCTTCTAAAAATAACAACAATCCCGAGGACCAAATCTTGGTTCAATATAAGGAATAGTTTTCTGACAGTCAAGGCTGCTGTATTGCTTCATATAGTTGAGGCTCTAAGTCATGAGAAGGGCTTATAGCAGAAGTTTTCTCTTTATCAGAGATATGTGGAGTGTTAAGAGAAAAGCCTGTTAACAGCACATTCAAACCTACACAGACTACTATGAGAAGATCAATAATTCATAGGAAAAGGACTAAGCACCTTCCCAGAACTGGAAATAGATTCATATCTCAAAATTCTATTTTGGGGGTAGAGGCCAAGCCACTTAGGCAGCTGGCAACAAGATGGAAGCTGTATGCAAACTGACAGCTCAGACTCTCTCAACACTCTTAAGATTGTCTCCAAATCCTCTATTTTCAGTCCTGTTTTTAGAATAACACAGAGGAGATTTGTTACAAGAAATCTTAACAGTATTCTCAGAATGCCAGCATAACATTCCAACTGGATTTACATTTCTTACAGTGAGAAAATGGCAGTGTACCATTTCTCATTCCAGCCCTCAGTGCCATGTCCTCCCCTATCCTCCTCTGAGACCTCTATCCCATTGCACTGGGACTTGTACTCCTTGAGCTTATCTGGATTCTAAATGAATAAATTCCATTTTAGTGGCAGACTGAAAGGAAAGGAAGTGAATAATCTTGGGAGTGGGACAAATGAAAACAATTTGGTATTCCTGTCCCAAGAACACACACGTAAGCAGGAAGCACATCTCTTTTGCACTGACAATATCCTATCAGAAGACAGAGAAAGTTCATATCCAATACACTGTGATATCTGGTCATAAAGAGCAAAGGACTAAGAAGAGACAAACCATGTCCCTCCAATGTACCTCCAACCTGCCAACATGCCCCATATGGCATGCATCACATGGCTTACTCCTTCCCACAGCCTCCGGCCCCACCGCCCATTCAAAGCAGGCCATGTGTCTTACGGCAGACAGGAAGCATAAGAATTACTCACGGATAACTGCTGAAGAAGCACATCGATTCCATCCAGCTCCCCAAGCAATTCCCTGTTTTCTAAGAGGGGAAAAAAATAGAGGAAGAAAAAAAAAAATGAAGCTAACTGTCAGATTTTACAGCCGTCTAACACTGATACATCAGCAAACAAAATCAATACAGCTTGACAGAGTACAAAAGCTGCACAGGGAGCAAGAGGGAGAGCAAGGGGATGCCAAAGGCAAGAGAGCTTGCTGTCATGATCTGAAACAAGCCTGGCTCCTATCCTAACAGAATATCAATACTGAGAGGGCGCCTCACCATCATTGTCCTGGAGCAAGATGGCCAGCACTTCACTGCAGTATAGCTTGTTGGCATCGAAAGGCATCTTTGCCTATGGGGGAAACAGGAGAAATGAGAAAAATACTAAGGGGTCTTACTTCCTTCCAGAGGACACATTTTTCATAAGTACAAGATCTGAGTTAGAGAGAAGCAGAAGTTAGAAATGGAAAAGGCAGGAGAAGGGTAAAAAAGCCCGCTTCTGCTCTCAAGAGACTACTACATAGTAAAACCATAAACGGCAGGTGAACACGATGGCTCTCACAGTCTTCATGCCCAGGTGCCAATGTTACCTCCTCTGTGAAGCCTTCCCAGATTTCCCATTTTGAGTCCAGAGACTATGTCAACCCTATAGTACATACTCTAATGTGAACTAGATGAATAAAAGTTTTAGCTTCCAAGGTTAAAACTCATCATGAAGCTTCATTCACGGTTAAAATAATAAAATTAGGCTATAAATTAGTTGGCACGATCAGAAGTTGAAAAGAAAGCAAGTTTCTTCTTTAGATTAGCTGAATGCTATTTATAACAAAGTAGTTCCTTTTGGATTTTTTGAATGTTTAAAATTTAATTTGAAATCATAAACCTATCTGCTTGCATGCTATAATCTGCCCACTATTTAAAAAGGAAACCGCATTAAATATGCAAAAATGTGTTAATATTTTAACACCCAAATTACTATCCACAATTCTTTCCTTGCTGCATGTTCTACGACTTGGGAGTTTCAGAGGAGGCACATCTACTGCACAGAATCTCTTTCATGACTGTCCACATCATTGTTTCAGTGGTGAGACTTAAATATCTTACCATTAACACAGGCACTTGGATAAAGGTGCACAGAGAAGAGCAAACCCACTTGTGTGTCTGTATTTACAGTACCCATGACCTTTAAAATTCAGGCACACAGACAAGGATTGTTCATTAGCAGCAGCCTCTGCTACCTATCCAGGTTTTTGAAGTGACAAATAATTTCTGTACCTATAAAGGACAGGGGAAATGTTTATCTTGAAGCTAACACTTCCATCGCCTTAGCACTATTCATAGTTCTATTTAGGCATTGATTTTGTACTAAAGAGGGAAGAGTGGCGCCTCAACAAGAAACATCCAGCCTCATTTCCATTTTCTGTGCATGTCTTCCTGGTCGAGCCTAAGTACACCCCATAGGGCTTCAGGAGGCCAACCAGGTAAGACCACCTTAGGTTAAAACAACTGTAAACGAAAGGTCTTACATATGCTGACTACAAGTTATGCTTCTTGGGCAAGCTTGAGGCCTTGTTTCAAAAAATTCAGAATAACAGCCAGGGCTTAAATGCAATCCATGGTGTTTCTCACTTTAAGAAAAACAGTTTTATAAAAATCAAAACACAACCTCTCTATCAGAATCAAATAAATGCTAATAAAATTCTCACTCAAATTATTTAAGTTCCAAGTATTGCTATTTTACTTTAAATAATTTAAGCCACACTAACTTATATGTTAGCTTTTCAAGGGCTGGGTTCTTGTTTGAAACAAGATATACATAACTGAAAGAAGCCAAAAGACATCAGGCCACTAGAGTCACAGTCTTTCTATGGGTCCAGTGCCTCTTGTTCTTTATTTGATTTTATAAACTGTTTTCAAGTTATGGAAGTTTTCCCGCTTTCTTTCAATAAATAATTACTGGGCATCTGCTATGTGTAAAACACAGAATTAAGTACAATAGCAAACAGAGGTGAATTAGACCTGAACCCAGTCCACTGCTGTGGCATTTCAAAACATTACATTGAATTAAAGTTAATTGTATTAAGTAGTACAGTCTAATTCAAATAAATAAATAAAAAAGAAAGAACATGGATCTGGGATCAGATACACCTAAGACTAATTTATGAGCATGCCACTACCTATGTGACACAAAGTCTGCAGTTCCCAAACTGTATACTGTAACTGTGGTCCCACACCGAATTCACTCCAGGATATTTGAAATTTTCAAGGATAACACGGTAACACTTGACATCTGTTGACACTGGATTAACTAGTAGCTTGAAGTACATTTCTTTTGGTGACATCATATGTTTCTGGTGCTGGGATTTGACAGTTGCTGTGACAAAAACAACTGTGAAAATCAATGTGCAACAGGAATGAGGGTGCTGGTGTTGTTAAATCTGAGTCCAGGGTTTGAGAAGTTGAGCAGTATCCAAAAGGCACAGACATCCATTAGGAAGTAATCATGGTATTTAAAAATAAAATAACAATATTTCTCTTTCAATTTAAGTGTATAATTTTTTCAATTCGCTAGTAAATCATTAGGACATAAAAACACATTAAATGGTTTGGACCTACTACTTAATAAATGGGACTGTTAAATACTTTTTGGCATGGGGTGCTATAAAGACAAAACTATGGAGACAATAAGAGCAACTGATAATGAGAATCTATGACACAAGTACATTTCTTGGACATTTGTAAAATGAAAATTTTTTAAAAGTGTCTTTGGAGAGTTACTATGAGAATTAAGTAAGATAATATGAAAGTGTCTAACACACAGTAGGTACCACAGGTTTTTCTGATGACCAGAATCAGAAATATCTGAGTTAAAATCTCAGACTTAATAGTTACGTAGTCTTGGTCAAATTACTCTCTCTCTAACCCAATGTCATAGTGGCTCAGGCCTATAATCCCAGCACTTTGGGAGGCCGAGGTGAGAGGACTACCTGAGACCACAGGATCGAGACCAGTCTGGGCAACTAGGTGAAACCTCATCTCTACAGTAAATAAAAAAATTAGCTGGGCGTGGTGGTGCATGCCTGTAGTTCCAGCTACTTGGAAGGCTGAGGCAGAAGGATCACCTGAGCCCTACAAGTTGAGGTTGCGATGGCCGTGAGTGTGCCACTGCACTCCAGCCTCGGTGACGAGTGAGACTCCAACTCAAAATATACAAGCCCCCGAAAAATTGGCATAAAGGAAGAATCTAACCAGGAAACCAAAAAGATGAGACCCAACAACACCCCAACTCTAAGCCCTGCGATGCTTCATGACCTGAGTGGTGCCGGCTGGGAAGTAGATTGGGAAGCAGCTGGGCAAGAGGAGGTGGCTTCAGAGATGCCTAGGCCCAGTGCTCACAGGCTCTCCCACATGCATCCGATGAAGTTTGGGCAAGGCATTTCCCCTCTCTGGGATTCTTCCTGCATCTGTAAACTGGGGATAGCTGCACCCTTTTGGCAGGGTTGCTTATGAGGAACTAAGGTATGTAGGCCAGGCGCAGTGGCTCATGCCTGTAAACCCAGCACTTTGGAGGACTGAGGCCAGAGAATCACGTGAGTTCAGGAGTTTAAGACCAGACTGGGCAACATAGTGAGACCTCATCTCTTTAAAAAATTTTTAAAAATTAGCTAGGTGAGGTGGCAAATGCCTGTAGTCCCAGCTACTCAGGAGGCTGAGATGAAAGGATCACCTGAGCCTGGGAGGTCGAGGCTGTCGTAAGCAGTGATCATGCCACTGGACTCCAGCACAGGCAACAGAGTAAGATCCCGATTCAAAAAAAAAAAAAAATTTACATTCGGTTCTAGAACAAAACTTAGCATGTAGTGGGCAGTTAATACATGAAAATTATATCAGATGGGAAAAACTTAGTGATAATGACGACAACAACCCAACATTTTAATCTGGAACATAAATAAATGATGCCTGGTAGGAAGGAAGGCTACTAACCTTTCATGTCTAGCCAAAGACAAAACTTACCAAGGAAATTTTATTTCTGTTTAATCTCAGCCAGAGATTGCACAATGCCAAACTACCAAATTACATTTATTCAACATCAGGAGAAACAAGATTTCAGTCAGTTAGTAGAGTTTCTTGGATTTCACGGTTACCCAGTGAGACTTGGAGCTTGTGGGGCTCTCCTCTATCCAGGATCCTGGTGATCCTAAATCCTTCAGCTGTCAAAGTAATTACAGTCATGCCTGGGTCTATATTCAACATGCACTAGCCTTGAATAAAATTAAACTTTGCCTTTTTGGGAGCTGCTGCTTTTCTGGAAGGTACAAAACAATTATGCTGCCACCCACAGCCAGAAGCTGCAGGTTGTATCTGCAGCTCACCTCTGGTACCTGGACACATGGAGGCAGGTTCAGGCACATCTACAGCCCTGTACAATTGTCAAAGCAGACTGTGCCCTGCAAAATCCCAACCTCTGGTCATAAGAAGCTAAAGATTTTAGCATCAACTAGTAACACATGTAATATACCTTAGCCAATTCATTAACTCATATGCTGAATTTTGCAACTGCTTCTGAAGCACTAATTTAACTGGCAAATAAAATCGAATCTTAACTTTGTTTCTTTAGAAAAGAAAATTAATACTTGGTTTTAGTATTATTTTCAATAGTACATGATATCCTCATAAGCTTGTATTCCCCATTTAAAAAATAAACTGATGCAGTCTCCCTCACACTACTGTTATCTGCTTACCTACTAAGCCATTTCATGCAATCATCTGCAATGGGTTTTATCCTCATTAGAACAAATTAGTGAGGTTTCATTCGTTGGATGAAGAGACCCATGAATATATCTATACACTGCGAGGCTACCAGCACAAAAGGAGAAATTCAAGACTAAAATGCCTGTCACCAATGTGCCATTCACTTAAAAATTACTCAAGGATTACTGAATAAGTATGGGATGATCAGTCGAATCGCAAGGTTTTATCAAGCAATCTAGACGTAAGTACTCTAGGACCTTAGTTCTCAGACTATAGCTTACATCAGTATCACCTGGAGGGCTTGTGAAAACACAGGTTGCTGGGTTCCCCTCCCAGAGCTTTGCCAATTCAGTGGGTCTGAGTGGAACCAAGAATTCCTTTCTTTTTTTTTTTTTTTTGAGTTGGAGTCTCACTCTGTCGCCCAGACTGGAGTGCAGTGGCCGCTCCCGGCCACCGCAGCCTCAACCTGCTGGGCTCCGGCGATCCTTCCGCCTCAGCCTTCCGAGTAGCCGGAATTACAGGCGCGCGCTACCACGCCCGGCTGATTTTTTGATTTATTGTAGAGATGAGGTCTCGCTGCCCAGGCGGGTCTCGAACCCGCGGGTGCAGGCAATCCACTCATCTCAGCCTCCCAAAGGCGCGGGATTACAGGCTGAGCCACCGAGCCCGGCTAAGAATTCATTTCTAACAAGTTGCCAGGTGATGCTGATGCTCCTGGATGGGAATGGAATTTTGAGAACTGAGGAGAGGCAAATATAACAGAAATCCTATACTTTTTCTTATGGAATTTCAGATTCTTTGGAGAGGAAAAAAAATGAGTACACATAATAATATTAAATTCAGCCAGGTGACAGACTCATCTCTACTTTACAGATGAAGAAAAGATGTTCCGTAAGAAGGAATATCACACAGTCATGGGTATACACTAGAACCCACAGAGACAAACTCTCATCAGGGAAAAAATGAAGGGGTCTGTTTTCATAAAAGAAGGAGGGCAGTATAGGCTGAGGTCAAAGCAGGGCTACGGAAAGGGTGCACGAAGAACATTCTGGAGGCTTGGGTTTTACTAAACCCTAGCTCTATCTCTAACTAACTATATGAGTCTGCAGGTCTCAATTTTTAAAATTTTTATCAGCAGAACTTATAAATTTCCTTTCAGTCCTAAAAGTGATGGAGGCTACACAGAAGAGCAGAGATTTAAGCTGTCTCATGAAGGGTGTGTATAATTTAGAAATATAGAAGGAAGAAAGGCGTTAGTAATTCCTGATAGAGACGGGAGCATGAACAAAACCAGACACGGAGGCCAAAATAATGTTGACCTTCGCAGAGCAGGGGATAGATTGAAAGAGACATCTAAAAGGTCAATGTTGAGAAGTGAAAAGGCTACACTGGGGCAGGTTAAGGGGCTTTAAAAAGTAGGCAGAGATGATGGGATCTGATGTAGGGGCCTCAGCATCACTCTAAGGTAGTGATTGAACAGGGAACGGCATCGCAAAAACGGTGTTTTAAACCAGTCTACAGAATAAAAATGGGTGACAGGAAGGTTCACATTTCTAGAGACTAGTGGACTGTAGTGAGAACTGCACATTAGAATCACATGGGGAATTTTCTAAAATATACCCATGACAGACTAAAAAAGGGGTAGAATTTGGGAACCTGTATTTTTTAAAGTTCCACCGGTGATCTTAATCCAAACCCTCAGTTGAAACCCATTGCTATGGGTTTATTGAAAAGTATTATCACATTTGGCATTGACAATAACCCTATAAGACTAGAAGGGCAGGAAATATGATCTCCATTTTTCAAAGGAGAAAACAGGCCAAATTAAGGAACCAATGGTCACAGTTACACAGCGAATAAATGGAAAGTCAGGATTTGGGTCCAGTATTCACCACGAATCACCATAATGTTGAAGACAATTATAACAAGTACTTTCCCAGATATTGAGAAATAGGGGCAAGGCATTGCTTTTAAAGGCATGGCTTTTTGCTGCCTCATCCTTAAGCAGGACTTCCTTTCAATAATTAATTAATTAAAGAATCTATTATGCCTGGGCAGTACAGGCTTTTCCTAAAGGTACGTCGCTTACTAGCAAAATAACCAAATAGCATTTGAATGTTTAAACAGCCCCCAAACCTTGAAAAACTGCTTCAGAGATAGTAGCAAGGCTATTTAGACCCTGAGAATTACACAAACACACGAGGCAAGAGACAATAGCTTGCTAGACTACCAAATGGGCCTCTTTATTACTACTTCTTACCATCATAATGATAAAGGCATCCAAGTCAAACACCCAAAAATCAATTTGGCAAGTTTCAACACCTTTCAAGAGGCAAAGGAGGTCTTACACTCTGGTTTAATGATGGATCCTGGAATAGGTATCATCATATCTCAAGTTAACTGAGTAGAATTTTGTCCTATTGGAGCATTTTACACATTTAAGGCTGGGGCCCTAAATCTGTGGCCACCTCACCAACTCAGGTCCTTGGCATCTACCCCATCCCCTTAACTTGGTGTTCTACTTTACTTTCCCATCTTCACACTTCCAAAATGTCTCAAGACTGAGGAGAATAAAGATGTGTTGAATATTAAGAAAAGAAGAAACTGAGTTTAGGGAGACATAAAGGAAATTAAATGAGAAATAAGTCTAGTCTTAAAACCAAAGGACAGCTAGACTCAAGACAAAGGTCAAAAAGCAGTTACAAATGATAATGCTGAATTTGCTGAATTTCCACATGCTGAATGCAAGACTGAAAGGAAAGAGGGGTGGAGTTTGCAGGAAGTTAATGGTTTACTGAACTCTGCCAGGTAAATGTGCCCATACCCACTGATAACTATTGGGCTAGCTGAATATCTTTGAGTCAATATGTATGTAAGTCTGTTACATACTTAACATTAAAAAAAAAAAGGCTTAAGTATAACTGGGAAAGACCTGGATTACCAGAGAGAGAGGAAATCAAGGAACATGATATCTCAGGCAGAACCTTCTCCCTTAGACTTGCCAAGATGGGTGGAGAATAAATACGATGTGATACAACCTAGACTTTCTGGATCTCTTTCTGGGCCTCCCTCTCACCAAAAAGTTGGAATCTTTGCCGGCTAGAAGATAATTTCTGTAGCATGTAAGCTGTTCCAAGCTGTCTCCCATCACACCTTTGGTTAAAACTATTCAGAAACAAGCTTTTGCTCTTCTTTTCTTCATTTACTCTACTGGACAGTGCTTATTGTAAAAAAGACAGCCAAAGGGACTATGCTACGGGGGAAAGAGAATGAACACTCAATAGAAATCTGGACAAAGAAGCTAAGAGCAAGGGGCAGTGGCTAATGCCTGTAATTCCAGCACTTTGGGAGGCAGGAGTTCCAGACCAGTCTGGGCAACTTAGCAAGAACTCGTCTCTACAACACATCAAAAAAATCACTTGGGTGTTGTGGAGTATGCCTGTAGTTCCAGCTACTTGGAAGGCTGCGGTGAAAGGATCACCTGACCCAGCAGACAGAGGCCATAGTAGCCGTGAGTATACCACTGCACTCCAGCCTGACAGACAGAGTGAGACTCTGACCCTCGGTCCCCAGATAAACAAACAAATAAATAAATAAATAAATAAGAAACTAAAAGAAATGACTGCAAATAGCTAATAAAAAACTAGAAACCAATATAATTTACTTAATTTTAAAATTCCAAATTAAAATATCAGTTTTCACTATCAGGTCAACAAAACTTTAAGACTGACAATACCCAGTGTTGCTAGGAGTAGAGGGAAATAGATACTCTCAAATCAGTGGAGAAGTCTTTATAGAGGAAAGACGACTTTGGCAATACCAAAAAAGTTAGTGTGCATATACCCTTTGGCCTATCAATTCTAGTCCTAGGAATTTATCAGACAGATAAGCTGAGACAAATGTTTATGAAAAGAAGTGTGTGTCTACAGTAGTCCCCCCTTATCTGTGGGAAGCACATTCCAAGACCCAGTGGAAGCTATAACCACAGATAGTACACAGATATATACTATGTTTTTTTCTATACATATATATGTATGATAAAGCTTAATTATAAGTAAGGCACATTTCTAGATTAACAATAATAAAATACAGCAATTATAACAATATATGGTAATAAAAGTTATGTGAATGCGGTCTCTCTATCTCAAGATATTTTATTGTACTGTATTTACCTATTTTTGGACCGCGGTTAACCACGGGCATCTGAAACGCAGAAAGCAAAACCATGGATAAGAGGGGACTACTCTATTCACTGCAGTGTGGTTAATAACAGTAAAAACTTACAGAAAGAATGGTTAAATTAATTGTGGTACATCTGTACAATACTAGACAGTCATTAATTCAATGAAAAAACTAAGTTGCATAAGAAAACATTATATAATTCTGTCTGTAAAGCACACTCCCTCTCATATACGCACAGACAATTTCTGGTAGATAAAAACATTAACTGCCTCTGGGAATTAGAACTAGAAGGGATCAGTAGAGGGAAACTTTTATTTTCAGTTTTATACCTTCTGTATCACATCAATTTGTTTGTATTTACAACATGTCTGTATTTTCAGAGGCATTAAAGGCTATTTTTAAAGCCTCTTCTTTTAAAACAAACAGAAAGGGAGAAGTAAAAGATGCAAGAGATAACCAGAAGCTTTCCAAACTAAATCATATGGCTTGGAATAAGTCTACACCAATGACCCAGCATCAGCCATGTCCAGAGCAAAGAGAAGTTTGAGCAGCACTCCCACAAAGGCAAACTTACCTTCAGCCTCTTCAACAGCCACTGCAGAAGACCCTGCTGGGCTCCCTCTGTACACATCTCCGGCCGGAACTCAGCCATATTCTCCACAATAGCTGAAGGGAGACAGACACCACTGTTGGAGAGGATAACTTTGTTTCCGTCTGCAATAAGCTTATTTCCCATAACAGGTATTTTACTCCAATTCCCACTTCCCTGTACTCCTCCCAGTCAGATGTTGTGTTGTCGTTTTCAGATTAACCAGGAAATTGCTGTGGTGTTTTCCTTCAAGTTATGTTACAAGTAAAACTCACAGCTCAAAGTGATGAAATTTACAAATAGTGAGATTGTTTGCGCTAATGTGAAATAACACTGGAGCAGAACACACAAAAGAGTGGATATCTGCCTAAGAAGGCAAACTTAGTCCCTCATGCTGGAGGTTGCAAAAATCAGTGACTAAAGAGATAGGGAGCTAGGCAGAAGACTTAGGAAAAAAATCAGGGAATGGTGAATTCAGAGTCTCTTCCTTTCCTGATTCATTCAATTTTAGTTCTCTTTCTCTGCATCATATTGCAAGGGAGGTGAGCATGATCTTTTAAAATGAACAAAATAACATGCACAGAGGGGAAAGGTCATGCTAGCAGAGGTAACTGCCAGGTACTAGGAAGCAAATATAATTGGTCCTGTTATCACCTACAATAGTCTAAGCGTTACTTCATAGAAAAATTAAAGATTAGGAGGAAAAAAAGTGATTGTAGCCGGGCTCGGTGGCTCAGCCTGTAATCCCGCGCCTTTGGAAGACTGAGGTGAGTGGATTGTCTGAGCCTGCAGGTTCGAGACCCGCCTGGGCAGCGAGACCTCATCTCTTCAATAAATCCAAAAATCAGCCGGGCGTGGTAGCACATGCCTGTAATTCCGGCTACTTGGAAGGCTGGGGCGGAAGGATCGCCGGAGCCCAGCAGGTTGAGGCTGCGGTGGCCGGGAGCGGCCACTGCACTCCAGTCTGAGTGAAAGAGTGAGACTCCAACGCCAAAAATAAAAAAATGATTGTATGTCTATGACACTAAAAAGGAGAATTTCTTTTCTTAAATCACCTATAGTCCTTATGACATCAAATGGTTGCATGTCTCCCAGCTCCATAACCTTGAATGTGTTCCTATTATAAAGCAGATGCAGTTCTGTGTTTCCTAAGCACAATGCTTAGGAACACCCTGGTTGTAAACTTTGAAGGAGGAAGGGTTGAAGAAATCTCCATTACCTCCTATCTTCCTTCTCACTGCTTTTCCCATGTCAGTCACACCAACAGCAAGTTAAGGATGACCAGGCAGGGGAAATACAAAGCAGTGTGAGCACAATAGACATGAGACACTGAGAGATGAAGAGCATTACGACAGCCTCAATTACTTTCTCATATTTTCTTAAAAAATCAACTCATTCATTTTAAGAGTCTATGCCTTTATCTTATTCTTCTGCTTATACTTTAAACAGCTTCCTATGGTCCCCTAGAACAAAATTCAAACTTCTTGCCACAGTTTACAAGGTGTCCCATAATCTGGACAAACTTACTCCTCCAGTCCCATCTCCCACCACTCCCACCTCCCACTGTTATAAGACATTCTGAATCTTTTTCCAAAGCCCATCCCCATTCATGACTTTGCAAATGATACTTCCCTGCCTGAGGGTCCTTCCCCACTCCTCCACCTGTCAAACGCACCTCTCTTCCTCGCCAGCCCCATTCAGCTACCTGCTCCTCTCCAGCAATCCTCCACGCTCACATAGTGCTTTTCACTGACTCCTGTTATACCACTTGGCACCCTGTATTGTCTTTCCTTTCGGTTCAAGATTTTCCCATCAGTATGCCCCGTCAGGAGCAGAACCATGCCTAACTAACCCACCCCATCCTCTAGCATCAGGTTCTCAATAAGGCAGAGAGGGATGAGTCTCCTGAGCGGTGGGAAGCTGACCAGGCTGAAACCAGTCAGACCTCTGTAGATTGCCATTCGGGTGCTTCTGCCATTATGTCAGGCCCTTTTAATCAGCAGTAAGACTTTGGGTAAGCTTTTGATTCTGCAGCATTATGCTAACAAATGGCAATGCCAAATTCTAGACTAGAGCCAACTCCCAAATTAGTGTTCTCTCCTCTTGCCCCCTAGCTGCCCATCTTCCCTCCTCTCTACAATAACCCTCACTGAACAGTCTAAAGTTCAAGAGAAATCTGTGGTACCCAAAGAAGCTGACAGAAAAACTAATCTCATCAAATTGTCTGCTTCTGCCAAGACTTATTCATTGCTTAAGTTCTGCTTATAGGTATGTCACCTGTGGTTTTATAAGACAGTGACCAGTGATAAAGAAGACTAACCCAAAACACAATTTTAAATAGGCTACTGGTTCAGCAACTTTGCAAAGGGAGACCGGAGAGATTCAAGAAGGAAGAGGAGAAATACTACAGAAGAATCTACTTCAAGGAACACCTAATGTAGGGGGAGCCAGGTTAGTATCATTATTTCAACTAACAGTGTATGTGGCAAGCTATACGTAAGAAAAAGAAACATTAACTCTTTTTCATATAAAATGAAATGTCCTATAAAAGTACACCTTGTAGTTGTAGTTCCACTGAAGGAAAGTGATAAGAAAAATCAACTTAAAATGATTTTTAAAATTTTAATATACATACTCCAATGGAAAAAAAAAGCCCACCCTACATAGATTTTGCCCTAACCTTTGGAGGCAAAGGCCTGCTAAAAGGGGCCAGTGATTTTTGTCTAGGAAGGTTACCTACTTAGTGGATTTCTGCTTTTATTACCTGCAAGCCAAACCAAAGCTGCAGTTATATGAAATTTACACAGAGGTCTTCATTTCTGAAAAGACAGTTTGGGAGCAGAAGGAAGGAAAACACTCCCGCTGTTGACTCTATTATGAAGGAGGAAGGGAAATGAGCACCAAGTCCCAAAACAAACACAGAGAAACACAGAAATGGCAGGCATGCCTTCTCTCACCGAGAGTGTTATGGACGCCATCCGCCTCCTCCTTCACAGACTCATCCAGGCGCTCCAGATTCTGTACCAGTAGTGCTACCACCTGCCCATCTACCTGCAGGAACAGGATGCAGAAGGCGAAAGGGGCACATGTCACAAAATGGTCCCCAAAATGCACCCATTCCCACTCACCTCTGCACTATCTGAATGAACAAAGTAAGTAAATAATCAGCAATCTATGGTTCTTCAATGATTCAACAATACGTTCTTCTATGCTATTATCTACTTCAAGCCTTAAAGTGACCCTGATGCAAGTAAAGAGCAACATCATTATCCCTAATTTAAGATGAGTAAGTTGATGTTTAAGGAGACAAAATAAAATTCAATATGAAACAATTAGTGAGTGGCAGTGCCAGCACTTGAGCAGAGAACATCTGAAACCAAGCCTGGCACTCCTTCTCTGAAGTACTTTACCTTACAAGAATGCCATCTTAAGTCAGGTAAACAGTCATTCAAGCCAAAACACATTTCTAGACCAACGCACCAAGGAATGTCTATTTGGAACTAGTCACATTTTATGTTGACCTCAAAATTTAGGGTTAAACCCCAAACGTTCTTGACTTTCCATGCTTTTATGAGACTATTACTTACGAAGCATTTCTAGTTCCCCCCCTTTTTTTTTTGAGTTGGAGTCTCACTCCGTTACCCAGGCTGGAGTGCAGTGGCACCTTCACGTCCACCCCAGCGTCAACCTGCTGGGCTCCAGCGATCCTTTTGCCTCAGCCTTCCAAGTAGCCAGAACTACAGGCTCACGCTACCACACCGGGCTAATTTTTGAGTTATTGCAGAGACGAGGTCTCACCAAGTTGCCCGGCTGGTCTCAAACCCACGGGTTCAGGTAATCCACTTGCCTCGGCCTCCCAAAGTGCTGGGACTACAGACTGAGTCACTGAGCACAGCCACAGTTCCCTTTTAAAAAGAATATTAGCATAATAAAATGCCTTATATTTGTATTACATTTAATGCACAGAAAGTTATTGTATTTCTCTCATTTTATTTGATTCACACATTTTGAGATAGAAAACTTTCAGTAGCCACATCAACAGCTGATATTCATGAGGTTAGTGACTTAGCCAAGACTGCACAGCTACTGAGCAGTGGCAGCAAAGGCAAAAACTAGGTTTCCTTCTCCTTAGGTAAAATAATACTTTTACTACTTCATGTTAGCTTCTGTGTACAATCTGTGTTCTAGACAGACTGCCCTTAGGTAATCCTTAGGCACACCTAGGAGGATAACTAAAGAAACATCTAATTTTCTATCATCAAGAAGTGATTATCTATCTGGTAATAGACTCCTAAGCATAACCAATAAGCAAACCTGTATCTGAAGACAAGTTATCTTCCTTGTGTTGTCTTCCTGCTCAGTGCCTGTTTCCTCACTTATAAATGGGGTTAAATTATAAAGATAAAATGAAAGTATGTGACATGTCTTACCCGGGGTCTGGTTCATGGAAGCTGCTCAAAGAAACAAGCAGAGTCTGACTATAGCCCTTTACTCCTTTTGATATCTGATAATTCACTGTTCGGAACCCCCACCAGCTAAGAAAAAGTCAAGTTCCTTAAAGGCAGGCACTTCACCTCATCCATCTTGGTATACCCTTCAAAGTCTAGCACAATGCTACATTACTTCATATAGTAATCCACTATTACTTCAATGTGAGGAGAGAAAGGAGGGGGAAAATGAGAAGGAAACGATCTCTTTCAACGGACATTTCCTGAGCATGTGTGTGAGGCATTTGACAGACACGATTCAAACTGAGCCTGAGGAGGGAAGCGATGGCAAGAGGGACAGATCTTGAAATATAAACTCTTCTCTCTCTCTGAGCAAAACTTAAGGGAAATATCTGGATGAGGGGAAAAGCTAAAATTATTGACTAATTTGCAATACCTGAATCACAAATGAATTGGATTTTTCGAGGCTCCCTTTTATGCCCTGATGTGAGGAATGAGTGGATACTCTTTGAGGGGACACTGATGCCAGAATTGAGAGCATGTTGGAAATAGAAGAAGCTATTTTCCCCTTTGGCCAGGAGATAACAATCTTGCTCTCAAATCTCACAACCAGCAAAGGCTTCACCAAAGAAATCCACTGCAATGTTTTTCTTAATTAATTGGACAATTTGAGTATGTGAGAGAAAACAGAAAAACATCTGGGAGAAAAATATGAACCATGACACAGTATGTTTTTCCCTAAATCACCCTGATTGACTTATAATCTCCCTGAGTCCTAAAGCAGCAGACACTGCAGCTCCGCTGGGTATCACACCACTTGTCAGTTCTGCAAGCTGCTTCACCAGTTTCAATTGCTTACTGCTGCTTTGTCTGCATTAATTTTTTTCCCTTTCCTTGATTCTTAGTTATGTTTCCCATCTCCTCTGTCTGGAAAGTGGTGGGGACACTGGCAGTGAGCAATGCGTTTAAATCCTGGAGTTGAATGGTTGTGGATAATGGATGTCTGGCTGGAGAAAATCTTTTTTCTTGCTATGGAAATCTAACTTCTAACAGGCAGCCTTTCTAAGCTTGCAAAGTGTAAAACTTTATGTTTAGCTGGGTTAAATGCAATTTTATCTGATTGCTGGAAGGCCAAACGCAGTCAAAATACATTTAGTTCAGAAAACCCTTCAAAAAATATTGATGTAATGCAAAGCTCTGGATATTGCAGAGTTAGAAGCACAAATTAGCATTCTGTCCTACTCCCTCTAACCCCTTGGGTCTACCTTCAATTTTTTGGACCTGTGACCAAGTCTGAAACTAAAAACAAATCCTGCTTGGGGATTAAAGCATCAGCCAGAGCAACCCTGGCCTTGGCAATAAGGACTGTCTTAGACCTGATGTCTTCTGATAAGTCACTGGTAATTTCAACTTGTTAGCAGGCCTCCCAAACAATACTCCAGCAGTTCCTACACTGAGATAAAGTTCAAGGGCATGATCAGATACCTTTTTCCACTTGACCAAAAAGGACAGATATAAGAGAAGAGGGGGAAATAAGAGAGACAGATGAGAGGGTTTGAAGGAGGATTCTTTTTCTATCCGCTGCCATCTGCCAATAAGCTATCTCAAGAGTTAGAGTTTTTCTATCCACTAGGAGTTTCATAAATTTCATAAATAAAAAACAACAACACTAAGATCCCACATCCATTGAATCTTAATCAAACAAGTACTGAGAATACGTATGGTAATATGGACATCAAGCAAAATTCAGGCCTGTTGCAACCTAACTAGCAATTTTTTAGCTTCCACTCTTGTCCTTCTAATCCATTATCAATATAGCTGTCAGAGTGGTCTGTTCAAACTGTTTGGTCGGACTATGGTACCACTGCCTTGATTACAGTTCCCCAATTACTCCCCTTCACACTGGCAATCCCACACAACCTCTCACTGAGGCCCACAGAACCCAACAGTCTGGCCCTGACTCTATCTACTTTCTCCTCGCACCCCAGCTGCACTCTAACAGGACCGGTCCTTTCTCTGTTCCCTGAACATGGCAAGCTCAGTCTTGCCTTAAGGACTCCTGCCCTTTTCCCATCCGGCTCTTGAACATTCTGAATGGCTGGTTTCTTCTTGTTACGTAGAACTCAGGCCTTGCCTGACTGTGTAGTCTAACCTGATTTCCCAGCGACTCCATATCACATCACTCTATTTTAATTCTCTATGTAGCAGAAAATCACTATCTCATAGTTTTCTTATTTACTGTTTCTCCCCTCACTAGGATATTGTAGTCCACAAGCCGATTACATATTTATTAGGTTATAGCATGCTCTTAACCTAAGTTTATGGTATACTCTATTACGGTTCTCTCATTATAAGCTCCAAAAAAGCAGAGGCCTTGTCAGTCTAGCTCACAGCGGTACACGCCTGGTTCCTAGAATCAGGAACATACCAAGCACTCAATAAGTGTGAATAAATAAACAAATACATTTTGCTCAGGAGCAAATAGAGACAAAGGTGACAACATTAATGGAAATGGGAAGGACAAGACCCAGAAACGTACATAGTAAGCAGCCTTACAGCAACATAAACCCTGCCAACCCCAGCCTCACCTGAGCAGCACAAATACACATTAATCAAGTCTGAGCCAAACCAACATGAACTTCAGAGTTTACCACTTATGCAGGGTTAACTGAGGGCAGGAATAGGTATGGAGGATAGTCCCCTGGCTCTCTGCATCAACGCCACTTTTGTGAAGCTCTTTCTAGCCAGTGGTGGCTCCCAGCCACCCTGGCCAGCCTCCCAACCCAGCTATACCTCCAGACAGTCTCGCAGAGAACCTCCATGCAGAGGCCATCACCAGCACCTGCAGCACAGCACCCCTTCCTGATTATTCCCCATCAGAAGTGACTGCTCCCTCCTCATTGCCACAAAGGCTTGCCTCTCTCACAGCTGTTCTCAATATTCTGCTTTGTATTATCATTACTTATTTCCTTAAAAAAAAAAAACTAAACCTCTATCCCTGAATGTCTTATTTAAGCCCACGCCATCCAAATGTGGTTTTTTAATTTGTTCAAAATGTTTTTGAAACATTTTTTGAACTGAAAAAAAATGTTTGTTGAACTCAACACTTACAGATGCCTCAATGTGTGGCAGATGATACATACATATGATTTTTAACTCGACATTTACTAAGTGCTTAATATCTGCCAAACACAATACCTTTACAGTGATAATGGTCAAAATTTATTGAGTGTTTACTCTGTGCCAGACTGTTTTAAAGACTTATTAAATATCTCACTTGGTCCTCATCTCAGTACTGTGTAGCAGGCACTACTGCTGTCCATTTTATGGAAGGAGAAACATTCCCAAGGACATACATTGGTAAGTGGCAGAGGTACTACTTTGACCACTCCTCTGAGGAATCACAACTCAGAAAAGACAAATTTATAAACAGATAGCTATAACCCAACATAACAAGTGCCAGGATGTACAAAGTGTTAGAGGAACCCAAATCCTGCTGAGGTGAAGAGTCTGGAATAAAATCAAAAGAGACGAGATAAAGTTTAAGTTGGGCTTTAAAGGATGACGTGGTCCTGGAGAAGCAAGGCATGGCAAGCTGAAGGCAGAGCATGAGCAAAGTCTTGGGACGACCAGCATATGACAAACGTAGGGACCAGTAAGTAGAAAGACAACTGCAGTCTCATCACTACTCTCAAGGAATACAAAGCCGACTTTTGAGAGGTAAGACAGAAAATTGCCTCCTCAGAAGAGTCCATGTTCCAGGCTACCAAATCAGCTTGTTATGAAGCATAAACATTCATGTTTTGCATAAGTAACAGCAGTGAATGTGAAACAAATTTTAAAACTCCAAAGGTCTCAGGGAATGCCAGGACAGCACTCTTTCCCCACAAACGTGCTATTCTATTGCTTAGGACTTCCAACTGGGAAAAAGACCAAAGCAATAACTGCAAACTGCACACCACAATAAATTCTGCCACATGCCCTCTAGCCTCAGCTCATGCAATTCCAAGTCTCTGATATTGGCCCCAAATTAAAACTATGAGGACAACTCAACCCTTGTAATATGAGAGTACTTATCAAACTTCTTCCTGAATGCAGCACAAGGGCAGAAAAAAATAAATGGAAGCCCACCCACCAGTTCTGTTCTGTGATATTTACTGATGGCTTCTGACTGGTTTCAGACAAGCAAATAATATAACGGAGTCCAGGAATGTTCAATGTTTGCAATTCATACCAGCCCCACCAGAATAAAGCTATGAGTCAAAATCTTAAAATAATATAATAACAATAAAAAAAGCTAAATAAAACAAACAGAAAACCCTGTATAGCAGCTACCTAATGGCTCCCCAGACTGAGAATGAAATGTTTCTTTACAAACAAACAATAAAATTTGCAAGATCCAGCTTTTGTCAGTGGGCTTGGCAACACAGAAAATACAAAGGGGGCTTTTGTGTGAACTGCTGTTTCTGAGTACGTGTTACACGCAGCAGCCAGGCTAGCTGTTCCTCTCTCGTTCTCTATTCACACAGGCAATGGATGGTAATTAAAATCAGCACAGGGACCAGGCAGGAAGGCTCATTCAGGACCACTGTAATTAACCTCTGGAAGGTAAGACTGCACAAATGACACTGTGGGGACATGGTGCAGGAGCAAGTGCCACAGCCTTCCCTCAGATGCTCCTCAAAATAAAGGACACCCCAACATCATCCTTTTTTTTTGCATAGTGGTTCAAAGGAAAAATAAAGACCCTGAATTCTACAAAAGTGTCAGTTTGCTCTAGGAAGGAGCTTGAAAGAAAAATGGCTATAGAAAACTTCATCACACTCAGTCACAAATGGCCCTGCTGGACTCCAGCCTCACTCTCTGTAAGAGGCAGTTTTCATACCCAGTGGGTTCACAACCCCTTCATTCAAAGAAAATACCAGCAGCAAGCACGGCACTTGGGGAATTTCTAGTGTCAAGAACACTAAGATAAAAGGTGAGGAGAAGGTGGGTAGCATATCAGTGGAGTTTCAGAATCATTCCGGGTGCCACCCGCCACGTTCTGATTCAGTGGGTCTTGGGTAGGGCCAGAAAGCAGCCTAACAAGCACCCAGGTATTTCTCATATGAGTGGCTGTAGTGATCTTTGATAAGCTCTACAAACTGCATTAAAACCAGTACTCAGCAAATTCTTACCAGAAAGAAAAGGCAAGAGAAGACAACAGAAGGAAAGGAAACTCCACAGAGCCTTGAGGAGGGAGACAGCCCTGTAGGTGGACAGAGCCCCACAGCTGGTATCAGGGTAAGGGCTGGACTAGACTTGCTCTGCCACTGGCCAGCTGTGGTACTCTCCAGCTTTACTACCTTCTGGTCCTCAGTGAGGAGGGGACTCTGATGTGCTGGGAACTTAACTGTGGCGGGAATCAGAACATGCAGGCTCTTAGCTTAACTGCCACAGGACTGGCTGAGTGCCCCAGCAGAAAGCTTCACTTCTGTATCTGGGCTTCCTCACATGTAAAGCGACCAGACTGATGGAACCTCACCCATCAGCTCCTCTGGATTGACGGCTGTGTGGAACAACAGCCAACAAGATTCTGAGGCCTTGCCTTGGTTCCACAAAAAGGAATGCAGAAATCAAGTGCCCTGACTTCCAAAGGTAGAGGATGCAACTCTGGCATCGATGAGTTTCAAGGCTTGTTCTCATTTTTAACCTTCTCCAATTCCTCTCTGACGACCCAGCTGTAAAGTAAGTAATAGTAATACCTGTCCTCAATGGCACCTGAAATTATAAAGCCCAGAGAGAAAACAAAGAGCGAAAGCTCTTCGTAGAAAGGTCAGTAACGACAAAATACAGGAAAGGGGGAGAGAACAAGAACACAGAGTCAAAGAGAAAAGGTTCAAATGCCGGGTGTGTGACTATAAATGGACAAGTCGTTTTACCTCTCTAAGCCTTAGCTCCATGGCTATACATGGGAGTAACAGCAATAATTCCCATCTGAGAGGATCTGGGGAGGATTATACAATGAAGAGAATGAGAGCTGGTGTGTTGGCAGCAGATAATAAAAGTGACGCCTCTACAACCCCTCACCCAATACAGTTCCAAAGAATCAAGTACCCACAAGCTACACTTCAGCTTTCTTACCCTCCTCATTCAGTTCAACCTTGCCATGGAGTTTCACCCGCTGCCCATCCAATGCCACCCACAGACAATGGTGATGGTGATACCACTTACACAAACCGGCAAACCCTGAGGGATGTGCAACTTACCAGAGCATCGATGAGTACTTCTGCTCCCTCTTCACTCTCATGCAGGGTGTCTATATCTGTTAATTCCTGAAGCAAGTCAACGACAGCTATGGACACATGTGAAAAATGTTAAGGGTATCACATACACATTGAAACCCTACAGACCTCTTATTAAAATCATTGAATCCCTTAACAATTGCTTCATCACCGCTTACCTCTAATAGACCCTAGTTTTATTAACATCTCTTCAACAAAGTTCTGCCCATAGCGAGTGGTCATTAACTGTTGTTAAATGACTCACTCAGTTCCCTTATGCGTTCCTGGCAACTTATTCCATAGGTTCACTGAATTTTCAGAGTTCAAAACTTCAGGTAGACCAGTTGGGAGGCGACTTTTCCAGTAAGAAATAGGCCAACACCTTTATTCTTATTCTCATAATTTAAATTCTTGAAACTCAGTATAATCTTAACTACCTGGTACAGTTCACCTTCAAAGGCAATAATGATTTCTGAGAAGAGGTGGCTGACGTTCACCAAGGAATCTTCAGAGAGCAGAGCATGACAAAATTGGTTGAGAATGTAGAGGGAAAAATTTATATGGACCTGGGCTAAGCCCCACCAATCTCTGTCCCCTCAAATCTCACACTGCCTCAAACATAAAAGAAAGGCAAGCAATGAGATTAAATATTGAGCAAAAATAAAGGAAAGAGGGAAGTATAAGGGAGAGAAAGTGAAAGACAGAACTAAATACCTTCTCTCTCTCTCTCTCTCTCTCTCTCTCTCTCTCTCTCTCTCACTCACACACACCCTGCGCTTCACCAAACTGCATTTACTGAATGCCCTTGTTGAATAAAGCATTGTGAATATGATAGAGACAAATTCATTCTTTATTCTGGATCTGTTTCCTCATCTACAAAATGAGGAAGTTAGATAATCAAAAACACAGCCCGGGCATGGTGGCTCACACCTGTAATCCTAGAACTTTGAGAGGCTGAGGTGGGAGGATCGCCTGAGTCCAGGAGTTCAAGACCAGCCTGGACAACATAGGGAAAACTCATCTCTAATAATAAATTTTTAAAAATATATTTGAAAGTCATACACCACAAGCAATAGCCAACATGTAACAAATGAAGAATATGGACAATATGAACTGCAGACATCCTGAGAAAGGAGCAATCAAATCAAGCTGGGAAATTAGAAATAACTTACTATAAGAAGACTGGTCAGAAAATAGGCAACCAAAAAGATAAGTACAGGTAACTAGAAAGCAAAACTACAGGGATAAAAGCAAGAGACTAGAGGATGCAAAGGCATTAGAAGAGGAGACAGGATTGGGAGAGAGGGGATGGAAGGGGGGGAAGAGAGAAAATTACAACCATAAGAAGAACATAATATTTTGAAAGAATAACCTCACGGCTGTGTGCAGGATGCACTAAGTACTGTGAGAGTGAAGGCAGGGTTGTGCACAAAGGAGGCAGCATGTGCAGATAGTTGTTGGGAAGGGGTGCAGGTGAGAGCCAGGCATGAAGGAGAAAGAACTGCTCCAAAGCCAAGACCTAAAACAGAAGCCAGAACACTCAACAAGGGTCAGAATCAGAGTAGCTTCACTAGAATTAGAAAAAATTAAAGTTGCAGGACAGATTAAAAAGAATAATAGGACACACCAACTGCTGACTAATATTCTGGGTATTATATGAAGTTCTTTTGCTAAAAGAAAAATTACTTGAGAGTATGCTTTATCTCCAACTGACCCGCTGACCGTCACAAATAAGCAATTAAGCTTGCTGTGTCTTACTCTTTCACTCTTCAAGGTGATATTTATCTAAAACAAGGGAGTGCTACAAAATGTAATGTGTATAAAGAACTTAAGGGTCTTTGTACAAAACTCCTTCATGCTTACTATCTTTATTAACAGTAATCAGAAAGCTGTCAACACAAAAGACCATATGTCATACTTCATATACACAAATTATTTCAATCAATTAAACAACAAACAAACAAACAACAAAAAGCAAAACCAACCAGGTTACCAGACAAACTCCTGGCAGCCCTAGGGCTACCTCTGACTAGTAGGAATTAGTTTTTCATGGCTAACAACTATAACAATCATCACCATAATAGCCACCATTATTTTATTTATTTATTTATTTTGAGTTGGCGTCCCCCTCTGCTACCCAGGCTGTAGTGCGTGGCAAGCTCACGGCCACCCCAGCGTTGACCTGCTAGGCTCCAGCAATCCTTCTACCCCAGCCTTCCAAGTAGCCAGAACTACAGGTGTGCGCTACCACACCCAGCTAATTTTTGATTTATTGTAGAGACAAGGTCTAGCCAAGTTGCCTGGGCTGGTTTCGAACTCGTGGGCTCAAGCAATCCACTTACCTCGGCCTCCCAAAGTGCTGGGATTATAGGCTGAGCCACCATGCCTGGCCAGCCACCACTATTAAAAGTCATCATTAAGTCAAGGGTTTTGCTACAGAATTCTCACAACAACATTACAAGGTCAAGTGCGATTCCCAATAAACAGACCAGAAAGCTAAAGCTCAGAGTGATTAAGTTACCCAAAGGTCACTAGTAAAGGAGAATGCTGGGTTTGTCAGTTTCCAATAATGATGCTATTGTTACTACACTTCACAGCAATGCACAAGGGGATAGACACTAGTTTTTACACCTGCTAGATCCAGGTATATTCTAGCCACTGACCCTGCTATAAACAAACACAGAGAAAAGAACTATCATTTAATTCCATCATAAATTATTAAAGTCTCAGGAAAAAGAATAAAATGTTAACATTTGCCCCCATCTAAGAAACTTATATATTTACTCTCTTTAAAGGTTCTTACATATGGGACGAAAAACCTTATAATCCGTTCACATACTTATTTAATATGCATAGTAACATTTTACTATCATCCCTCCATCCACCCATCTACTGTAGAGTCAGATGCCTATAAGATAAGGATCTGAATCAGGCATGCAAAAAGTAGTATTATCATTACATCTCTTGAATAGCACCATGCATGACTAAATACTTATTAAATAGTATGTGATTAATAATTAAACAAGTCTCTAAAGACAAGTAGGGTATATCTGAAAAAGTAACAGATGAAGAATAAAAGCTAGCTTGAGGACAGGGCACATGTCATATCCATCTTTGCTGCACACTTTTAGTGAGTTGAATGGTACCAAAATTATCACTAGCCATGTAATCTTGTGCAAGCACCTTTATTTCCTTACAGCTTAATGTTCCTCATCTGTAAAAGTGGGGAATGGTTTCTGCCTATCTCACTGAGTAGCTATAGGGGATAAACGAGGTGAGGTATGTCAAAGGCCAAGCAGGTTGAAACACTCAGGGAAGTAGGAAAGCACTATTGTGAGATTACTAGCCAAGTCTTCCCATGGAATGCCCAAAGTTCTCCCTATGGCCTTCATTTTTCTAAAAGCCTCTAAAATCTAAAATTCAAGCTAACAGCAGCATGCTCCTCCCTTTCTGGGTCACAATGGGCCAGAAGACCTATTTTTATATTTTAGCTATGCCACAGTGATTCAGACCGATCAATTCCTTTTTCAGCCTCTAAGGTCTTATGGGCCAGATATCACATTATTCTTTGATTAGTCTTGTACCACGCTCACAAATGTGTCACATTAAACTTAGGAACTTTGAAAAAGAAGAAAAGAAAAAAATTTTTTGACAATGCTGATTTTATATAAGAGCATAAATGTTTTTTACCAAGGAAAGTTGCTGCTTATAATGTTCCAGTGGATATTTCGTTGCCTGCTTTCCTGCCTCCATTGAAAAGGCAAACAAGAAATCAGTTACCTACCAAGTCTAGTAAACATCTCATCAATCCTGCCATTAACTGATTTTACATATATTCCCAGCTTTCACAAAATAGCATTTCAGCAAGACAGTAAGTTCATAACTGTAATAATCACCTCCTGGGTAATGTAATATGACCCAGAAGACAAGAAGGTCATTTGAAGAGCAAAAAGAGGAATGAGAGCCAAAACTAAAGCTAGACCAACTCTCAGTCTTGATGAGAAAATTCAGCATGGTCTGCCACCCCTCCAACATTTCTCCACAAGCAGACTCCAGGCACGGGTGATAGGTTTTTCCAGTGTAGTTACAATTTCATTTCACAAGGTAAAAGGCTCTCCTGTCCAAGTATAATAGGAAAACAGAGAGCCTGTCTCTCTGCGAATTACTAAAACACAGTTTTTGATAGCCTATTTTGTCATGTCGCATAGAAAGGCCACCCCACACACTCCCTCTGTACCTGTCCACCACTGGGGCAATAAGTTAGTATCATAATAGGTGAAGCAGAAAAGACCAGCTGGGCACAAAATGGTCCATAACACAATGGCTCTTGGAAAAACAGTCATGTTTGCTTCTATATAATGGCTCCAGATATTTGTTTTTTGGCTTGATCCCACTTAGAGTCTTGATACAGAAACTGAGCATTAATTTCATTAATCTCCAATGAGATGTGTCCATAAGGAACAAAGTTATTTTTAAAAAAACAGAGAAAGAGGAATAAGATGCATTAAGCAGATGGCTTCTTTAAAAATCACTTTAAAAATGCTTTCTTAAGACAAATGAACTAGTATAGATTCAAAGGATACACGTGATTTAATGCAACGAATGTGGGTTTAAAGAAAAAAACCAGGGGAAGGAAGGTGGGATTAACAGTAGTCAATATCTGTCTGGGGACGGGGGGGCACACCTCATCAACAAGGGTACCTGCACAATGCATATTTGTATACCTAACCCTTAACTGTACCCCACAATTTAAAAAAAAACAAAATGTATTAAAAAAAACCAAAAACACTTTAATTCCTAGACTATGACAGTGATTAGATAAGATATGGCTAAATTAATGCAGATAAAAATGATCTTTTTCTCCTTTTAAAACAGCTGGCCCAAAGCTACCTAGAATGAACCTGAACTCTTAATTTTATCCTGATCCTAAATCAAACTAATATGAAGGAGAATATGCATTCATTCAACATTTATTAAGTACTTACAAAATGTCAGTGGGAAGGAAGTATTATGCCACAGGGAAAATGTCCAAAGTAGGTTACAACTACCCTAACCTTCCAGAAACATGAACTTCACTTTAAAC